AGAAGGAAGAGGATAAGGACACGGATGAGGATGAAGATGAGGATAAGGAAGAAGATGAGGACAAAGATGAGAATGAAGAGGAGGATGAAGATGGGAACAAAGATGAAGATGAGGATAAGGATGAAGAAGAAGATGAGGAAGATGATGACAAAGATGAGAATTTGGAGAAGGAGGAGGAAGATAAGGACATGAATGAGGACGAAAATGAGGATGAAGATGAGGATGAGAAAGAAGATGAGGACAAAGACAAAGATGAGAATGAAGAGGAGGATTAAGAGGAGGATGAGAATGAAGATGGGAACAAAGATGAAGATAAGGATGAGGATGAAGACGAGGATAAGGAAGAAGATGAGGATGAAGACGAGGATGAGGATGAGGATGAGGATTTGGAGGAGAAGGAAGAGGGTAAGGACACGGATGAGGATGAAGATAAGGATGAGGATGAAGACAAGGATAAGGAAGAAGATGAGGATGAAGATGAAGATGAGGAAGAAGAAGAAGATGAGGATGAGGATGAAGACAAGGATAAGGAAGAAGATGAGGACAAAGACAAAGATGAGAACGAAGAGGAGGAGGAGGATGAGAATGAAGATGGGAACAAAGATGAAGATAAGGATGAGGATGAAGATGAAGATGAGGATAAGGAAGAAGATGAGGACAAAGACAAAGATGAGAATGAAGAGGAGGAGGAGAATGAAGATGGGAACAAAGATGAAGATAAGGATGAGGATGAAGACGAGGATAAGGAAGAAGATGAGGATGAAGATGAGGACAAAGACAAAGATGAGAATGAAGAAGAGAAGGAGGATGAGAATGAAGATGAGAACAAAGATGACGATGAGGATAAGGATGAAGACGAGGATAAGGAAGAAGATGAGGACAAAGACAAAGATGAGAATGAAGAGGAGGAGGAGAATGAAGATGGGAACAAAGATGAGGATGAGGATGAAGACGAGGATAAGGAAGAAGATGAGGATGAAGATGAGGATGAGGATAAGGAAGAAGAAGAAGATGAGGACGAAGATGAAGATAAGGATAAGGAAGAAGATGAGGACAAAGACAAAGATGAGAATGAAGAGGAGGAGGAGGACGAGAATGAAGATGGGAACAAAGATGAAGATGGATGAGGATGAAGATGAGGATAAGGAAGAAGATGAGGATGA